TCTGTATTACTTTGCATAATTGATACATTTGCACTTGATGTGTCTTATTTTAGGGACACATCAATGTGTGTGTGTGTGTGTGTGTGTGTGTGTGTGTTGTTTTTTTTTTTTTAAGCAAGCTGGGAGAGTTATAGGTCACAGGGCTTGATAACATTAATTAAAATTTGCTGTGTCCAAAATTTGTATCACAAGCCCCTTCAAAGACCTCGGCTCACTATTTCGCCTCATCTCCTCCATCAGAAGCCCATTCCACCGTATCACTGCTAGCGCTAGGGGGATTTGAGTGAGACAGATTATTTGGTTGACCTCCTTATCTGCTGGAGCTATTTCAACATCTCACATCAATATGTTTGAAATGTGAGTGTTTATCAGCAGTGAAGAGCGCCAGATTATAAGATGTTGTCATATCACGAATCATGTTTCGGGTCACTTTGATAGATGCTTTGTTTTGGGTCATGCAGTGGGGGGCTCTCATGGAAGAATAAGCTAAACTACATTTGGTTTGACAAGATAGCTTGTTAAAATAGATCCACTTAAGAGAGCTGTTGGAAAAAGTAGGCCGTGTGTGTGTGTGTGTGTGTGTGTGGTCACTCTTGACAGCCCATTTGAGTATTTTATTTATTTATTTATTTGGACTTGATTTACATTAAAATGGATTGAAAACAATCTGGCATTTAGTGCTCTTGTAGAGGACAAATTGAACTTGGCCTTGAGTCATTTACATGTTTTTTTTCCGGTAGTGAGGTATTGCAACACATGAGATTTAGGGACGTACTTAGACTGCTAGCTGCACAGTGGAATTAATCAAATGTCATACCGATCAGGTCTGTCTCTCTAGGCTTGTCCTTAAGAGCTTATGCATCAAAATTGGCAGATAATAACAAGTGATAGATGGGGTGTGCGTGTTCTGACAGTTCAAAGCTGGATGCAAGCCCTCTGACAATCTACAGAGATGCTAGATATGAGCATATAAATGTCTGGGACTTTTTTTTTTTTTTCTGTTTTCTCTGATCTTAGCCATGCAACATTTTCAGTCATAGAATTTCATTGAACTTTCACAAGAAATGAAGGATTAACATGAGCATGGATATAGTCATGCACAGACACAATGGAGGGGCTCGTCACCCTGCAGCTATGACTTGGCAACATCACTGTTTGTGCCTATTACTTTTAGCCGGGTAATTTCCTCCCCTGTGGTACAAAATGGTCATCATTTGTTGCTTTTTCTCATCACATGGCTGCCTGTAATGATTCACAAATTCGTTTTGTTTAGCTCAGACCTCAGGCTCAGTGAAGCTTCAGCCTTCAGTCTCACTCTCAATTTCTTGCTAACTGAATTTAAAGGGATTGTGAAAAGATTGCGAAATCAAGAACCAGTAAATGTAATGCATTTTCTGACCCATATGTATCGTCTTTATTTGCAGTAAGGGTCAGTAGGAGGTTGTGATGGGTCTCCCCTTTGGAAGATTTTTATATGATGACCTCTTCTTCCTTTTTTAATCTCAATATTTTGGTGATTTTTATTAGTTTAAGGTGATATTCTGCATTTTAAAAAAATATTTTTCTACAATAGGAAAGGAATATTGATAGTTTGAAAATATATTAAACAGATGAAATGAAACATTTACAAAACTATTAACTTTTAAACTATGACTTTTACAATTCTGATTCCTGCTAATCCTGATATCCTTTTTTTTTTTTTTTGGCTGTCAGTCTTCAGTTTCATTGAAATTCATAATCCTCTTGGATCTGATGTACGAACACTGGTTCTGTGTAACATTTAGAACAGCTCTCCTCCGGTGTTGTTCTCCATGGAGACCAGAGCAGCCTGTTTGTGCTTTGTGTTACAGCCCAGTGGCTGCTTGGCTGCTCAGCCATGATTAATTCAGGCAGGCCTCAGGGGAGTACAGCCAGGCTAGGTTACCCAGCCAGGGATCTGGTGTCTAGCTTCCAAAAGACACTGGCGATTATGGTAGCTTCTGACTAAAAAGGAAGTTCAGGCTATGCCAGCTTTTTACCTGTTCCCCAGAAAGAACAATGTAAATCATTGGTTTGAATGTTTTAGGGAGTTTAAATATTGTAAACATCATAAACATTTCCTGCTAGACAAACAAGATGTTTGTTTTCACACAACAAAAGCGGAAAAATGCATTTTTGTAGTCAACATCAGCGCAGTAATTTTTTATCCGTCTACAGAATTGTTTCACTTTAATTTTAGTATTAGGACCACAAGGGGATTCCTCTTTGTCGAGGAGATGGGGGCACTTCCACACAACCACTTATTGTAATTGCTCAAGTCTTCTTGGACTTGGACACCTTTCTGATTATAGGAAGTGGAAAATCTGATTTAAAAGCAGCCCTGTTAGCTTCAAGAGTGTGCAACTGCAGTGTGGTCTCCATCCTTGTGCTTCCACTCTTGTCATCTGTTGGTCAGTTGACTCTAATGGATGGATGACTAGCTTACAATGTGATGCTCACAAAACAGTTGTTTATATGACAAGATGGTACATATGGGCATCCACCAAGTTAGAAAAGGTGTGCACGATTTATGATTTTTAAAAAGGAAACAGAAGAGATGCTGGTCATTTTGTCCACACTTTCTTCCATTTGTTTCAATAAGAGGTTTTTTGAACAGATGCATAGAAAGTTTAGTTGTACTGCATTCATACTTGTAGACTGATGATTTTGTTTTTATCTTTTAGCTGTTTGCCTGACGAAAGGTGTGAATAATCCATATGTGGTAAAAATATGTTGTTACCTTTATTTTATGTCTGTCCATGGACATAGTGAGCTAAAACTATCTCGAGACTTTGAGACATTTGAATGTAACTAATTAAAACTGAATAATAAAATTTGGTTTGTAGTGTTGATTTGTAAAAAAGGATAAATGTGTGATCACTCAATGAGTCTTCAGCCAAAGCGAGCTTAAGTTTAAGGCCATGGTTGTCTTTTTTTTTTTTTTTCGTGCAGCAACCAGTAAATGATGATGGATTGTGAGTCAGATGAGCGACTCCATCACTGATGTTCTGGTTTATGTTTTCTTTGTAAAATAATATTCATATAAATATGATATATAGTGATAAAATAATTATTTTCTACAGTTTATTTATGTGTTAAAAGTTACAAGTGTTTTTTGACAAAAGCTAAATGTGGGCATGTCATATGTTTAGATCCAAAGTTGTTTGCATTTGCAATAGTTGTGAATTTTGGAACAATATGTTAGTACCAAAACATATTTTTTACATTATGTTTCATCTGAGGCTGTGTGCAAAGGGATGATAGGAAAAATGCATCGTGTATCTGATTCTGTCAAAAGGTAAAGGATATCATCCCAGGCTTAATGGTGACATAAAGAATAAATGGATTATATGTGAGGGGAGGGCAAAAGGACGATGGGAGAGCTGCGTCTCAGTGCTATTATTTATTCCACATCTTTAAAGATATTGCAGCAGCAGCAGCAGGGGCAGCTGTGTTACCCCTCCTCCTCTATCTTCTGCTCAGATACACATTTGCAGAGTAAATCTCCCCTCTCTCATTTTAATGGGACAGTTTCTGATCCCTGCACCAAATCACACTGTTTTCACACTGAGCTAGTCTAATGGTGGTACGGCAATCTTTCTGTTTTTGTCTAGTCACACCTCCTTGATTCTAAACATGACAGCCTTCCTCACATTATTAATTTGACACCCGTGTTGTTATTTTCTTTATCTTTTTCTATTAAGCGGGGTTCAATAATAAAAATGTCATCACAACTATTAAGGAGTGACAAATCATGACATTTATGGCTCGTACATTTTTTCCCTGGACACAAAGAACATTATTTCTTTGCAATAAGACAAGCAATCTACCTCACCACCGCCTGAATAAGCGTTAGCTGGAGATTGCTGCTGAGGCTGACTAATACTGTAATTAGTTTCTTTCATGGAGAAAGGAATAGAGCTTGGGGTTGTGTGTTATGTTGTGTAGAAAGCTGTGCATATATGGCAGGATGTGGTTTATACGAATGCTATTGTTTCTCTTGAACTTGATCAGAACGGGAAATTAATCTCAGCCCAAGTTTGTCTGCCAGGCTATGTCGGATGCTGTTAGTATTTCAGGACCTCCTACAGGAATAGAAGACCTCTAAACATGCTTTTCACTCAAAGGGACATAATTTGCAGTTTGCAAAGTTAAACGCAACTATTTCTGACATTTTTAAACCCTTTAAAATGAGCTTTTGTCCAAGTTGGTTTTTATGTTTTTTGTGCTGCAAAATGAGATGATCCATGATGCCAAAACTGAGACTAAAACCTGCCATAAATGTTGCCGTGATACAGAGTACTCTGTTATTAGTCTGCGATTGAATGGGGTCAAGTTGGCAATCCTATGCAATCTGTTTCTAATAAATCATCAAAAATCACATATCTGTTGCTGTCTACATACATAAATCCTATTTTTACTCATGTGTCTGAGCCCTTAGTTTGCTCTGAATTAGTAGGTAGTGTTATCAAGCCAACTGTGTCCAGTGTTGAATAGTTTTTTGGGTTGAGTTGATTTAAAGTAAGTTAGTCCACCTAACATTAGCTCAGGATGGTAGTGCATGAGGTGAGCCTCCTGTTCGTAGTATTCCCACACACAGAGATCCCAGATGTGTGTGTGTGTGTGTGTGTGTGTGTGTGTGTGTGTATTGATGCAGTATCACTATGATGCACAGACGCACACCACAATGCTCTTAGCATTTTGGCATTTACAGAACCAAAGTTCATTAACAAACTATTACTAGGTCAATAGTTTTTACTCTTGAATAATTGCAGAGTCAGAAGGTTAGCTGTAGACACCACAGACTTACAGAGATTCTCTGTTGACCTTTAATCCTCTGGCGTCATATCTAATGCCTGACTAATGATCTGTTTAGGAGTGTGGACCCACACTTAGGAATTTTTCTGTTGTCTGCTTATGAAAGAAAAGGAAGGAACACTCCTCCTCATCCACCCTCACTTGTTTTTCTCTCTCTCTTCCAGCTGGTCGGCGGCCAGTTTGACCTGGAGATGAACTTCATCATCCAGGAACCGGAGAGCATTGTGTGCATGGTCGAGCTGTTGGACAAGTGTGAGCCCAACTGTCAGGCTGAGATCTGGAGCATCTTCACCGCCATCCTCAAGAAGAGTGTCCGCAACCTGCAGGCGTGCACTGAAGTGGGGCTCATTCAGCTTGTGCTCCAGCGTATATCCACCATTGACAGCATGATCGCAGGTGCTGAAAACAGTCCTTCATTGAAACAAGTCTTTGTCTTTCCATGAGGTTTTAAAGGTTAAAGGCAATTGGCTTGTGTAGCAGTTGCAGCGTGCTGTTCAGCTGCAAAGGCTGCAGATGTTTGCTTAACAAAACAATGACTCTTCCCTATCTGGAGAAGAGATGTTTTGTTGCTAAGCCTTTACTTTGACCTCTGTAAGGAAGGAGAGCTGGCTAAATGATAAATTCCAACTCCACATGTGAATTGATGTTTACAGTTTTTTGTCCAAAATATCATAATTTCATCCTCCTGTGTTGCATACACTGGCATATTATGCTGAGTGAGGATTCAGTTGTCCTGCACAGCCTCCTTAAGTCTAAGTCTAATTTGTCTGATGCTCATCTGGAAATTAGTATGAACTAGTCCTGCAGTGTATGGTTCAGTGAACTTTTGCCAGCTAGAACAGCTCTGGCCTGGAGCATGTATGCAGTCAAGCAAGGGTGATATAGCCCAGTAGTAACTAGGCAGCTAAAAGTAATGATTATAATAACATTTACTTTAGTGTGAATGCAGTATTAGTTAAGTTAAAGAGATCTGCAATCCCCTTTACTAAAAACCAAAATGAAACCATGTACAGTGGGGCAAAAAAGTATTTA